TGGTGCCGGCGGACCCAGGCAGAACCCGGCGCCCTGGGGGGCGCCTGGGGCGCCGACACAAGCGAAAAGGAGCGTGTGGGTCCGCCCTGTCGGCGAGTCGAGCGTCTCTTCCCGCCGTTTCTTCCCGCTTTTCCTCCACTTCCCTCCCATTTGCCCCTTTCCTCCCGCCATTCTCCCTCCTGCTCGCCTCCCAGCCGGCCGCCATGCCGCCGAAGAAGTACGCCGTCCCCCGCGCCGCGGCAACCGCTACCACCTCCGTCGCCCAGCCGAAGCAGAGGAAGCCGAGGGCGCCACCGTCCAAACCGCCGGGCATGTCAAACGCCGATTGGAGGGTGGAAATACAGCGACGGGAGGCCGTCATCGCCGACCGGCGGAACAAGGCCCTCGCCAAGAAGGCCCGTGACAACGCGGCGCGCGCGGCTGCGGGCGCCGCTGCCGCTAACCAGGCCGAGGCCGAGGCGGCTCGCGCGGGGATGATGAATCCCCCCAACAACCACGCGCAGTACGCGCCCTGGGGGTCGCCGGGCTACGCCGACGGGGACGCACACGGTGGGTTCAACCCGAACATCGCCTTCCCCCATGGCCACCCAGCCCAGCGCACGCCCTCGTCCGCCTTCGCCGGCGTGCAATACCCTCCATACAACCACTCGCCGCCCGCGTACGCGTCCTCCCCGACGCCCCCTCTTCGCCGTTGCACGCTGCCCTTCTCTCACCTCGGCGGCGCCGACGAGACCGAGGCCGACACGGACGAGATCATCACTGAAGGTTCGGCCGCAGCCGCCGCGTCTCCCGGGTTCACCGCGGACGAGACAGTGGATCTCAGCGCCTGCATGGACGGCGAGCTCGGCTACGTCTACGGCGACGAGGAACAGGAGGAGCAGGACGAGGAGGACGAGGAGGAGGAGGAGGAGCCGGCGAGGGGGCGCAAGAAGAAGGCGCCGGCCAGGACAGAGCCGCGCATCAAGTGGGCGTCCAAAGAGGAGGAATGCCTCGCCGAAGCATGGAAAGTCGTCTGCCTCGACCCGACCACCGGCGCGAACCAGAGCATCGAGATGTGCTGGGCGCGCATCAAGGCCGAGATCGACGAGCGCAAGCTCGTCGACCCCTACTTCAAAGGCGTCTACATGCAGCGCGAGGTGAAGGCGATGGCGAACCATTGGGGGCGTATCCAGGGGGCGTGCAACAAATGGCATGGGATCGTCGAGGAGGTCGCCGGTCGCCCGGAGAGTGGCGCCAACATTGAGGATCAGGTATGCCACGCCGGTCTCCCGCCTCTTTTCGCCGTTCACAGGCCAACTGTTTGTTCGTCCCTGCGCAGTTGCTGCGCATGTTCGGCCTGTATCGGCAGGGCAACAACGACGTCGAGTTCAAGTACCTCCACGTCTACAAGCGCATCGACAAGTGCGACAAGTGGGCGGAAGTCCGGCGCACCCTCGAGAAAGCCAAGGAGACCTACAAGCCTGACGCGCCGGCTCCGGGCGCGTCAGACGGGCGGCCGGACGGCAACAAAGGTGCCAAGAAGGGGAAACACGCCGACGCGGCCACAGCTCGCATGCAGGAGTCCATCCAGCACTGCCTCGCCGACGCACAGGTCCGGGACGCCCTTCGTGAAGAGAAGACCGAGGCGCGTTGGTCGGCGTTGATGTCGACCAACGCCGTCAAGCTCGACCTACTCCAGACCAACATCGCTGCGAAGAAGAGGAACACCGACTTGACTTTCCTGCTGGGCGGGGCGGACATGCTCCAGAGCACCGATGAGGTGGTCAAGGCGTGGTACAGGGCGCATGTTGGCCTCATCCTGGACCAGCTTCCCTCGGTGACGCCGCCCACGCACACGCCGACGCCGCCGCCAAGCCCGACCGCTGATGCCGCCGAGACTGCCCGCAGCACAGAAGCCACGCCGCCAAGTACAGAGGCCCCGTCGAGCCCGCGCACGCCGACTCCGGCGACGCCGGAGGCCGACCTCGCCACCTGATGCAGGCTTCCGTCCTTTCCTGCTTTTTTGTACGCCGAACATTTCATCCGGCCGCCGATCTAGGCCGCTTGATCGCCGGATTGTGGTGTCTATTTTAGGCGCGGGAACGACTATGTTTGAATTTTGCCGTGACTGGGGGGCGGCTGGGGGCGTGACTGGGAGCTAGGTCGGCCCCAGGGGCCGAACTAGCGCCGGCTCGCCCCCAGGCCACGGTTTTTCTGCGCCCTGGGGGGGGGGGCGAACGGCTGGAGATGCTCTTAGCTTAGCTTAATGATAGAAAGCCCACTCAAACTCCAACAGATATTTATATATTTTTATAAATATGGAAGTTATAAAATATGTGCAAGAATCGACATAGGAACTTTTCCAACCTTTGAAAAAAAAATCTTTTCACCCCCAGCCCAAAACAATGGTCTACAGTAGTGCCATAGCAAAATGAGCATCCTCATATGAATTGCTTGTGCAAATGGTCGTTCATCGTATGTCGTACGCTTTGTTTCCACAATTGAGATAGTGGCAACTTTGCACATGGAACAACATTAGTTAATCTCATACAAGATAGGACCGACCCACAAACTAAAACTCGCCTATAAATAATTGGTTGAGAGCACGAGAGAGTAAATCAATTTGGGTGTGTATCATCTTCAAATTTGTGTGATTGTCTTTCTTTATTATGGCAATAAAAGGGAGACTGAATTTCTAACTTCCATGCTATATACCGTGCAGCGATCCACCATTGAATGTGCTCGAGATTCATGTGCTCTGATGTTGTTGATATATTATGAAAAAAATAAGATGTGATTATATTATGAAAAAATAAGATGTGATATACTATGAAACAAGATAAAGCCGGTGAAATTTAATAAAAGCCAACATTTGAGTGAAAACATCTACTTTTCACTGAACGATCTTAGTTTTTCCACATCAAATTCGCACCTATCGCTCAGTCATGTATAGAGAGGCACTTTGATGAACTCTAGAGAGAAGAGTGCCCTCCTTTCATCAGTATATGCATTATTGTAAAGGTTGCATTTATTTCTACGAATATCCTCGAAGGTTGATTAGGCTAGCCATAGTGGGGGTAACATAAGTAGTATCATGCGCTTGGGACTCGCAAACATGCTTATGTGGCAGGCAATTAAAGAAGAGAGAGATGATTATAGTAACATAGGTAGATACCGTAACATAATAAATGTGGTGCTACTATGTGTCATGCATGGCAATAAATGAGACCACATATGATACTAATATATGATACAATGCACTATAGAGGTAGTAACATAGACTAGTAACATACGCATGGTACTAGTCTAAGTTACTCCCCACTATGAGCAACCTTAGTACACCTTATTTGTCACTTTCATTTTATCTTCGTTTTCTTCGCTGGGTTTTGCATTTTTTGAGTAAAAAAACATGTGTGCAGTGTTGGGTGTCTTTGCATTCAACATATTGTTTAAAAATCCTATGTGGGTTGGAGTTATCCTCATGGTGCTCAGCACCCTTTTGCTTCTTGGGGTCCGAAGATTTAGGACACACAAACACGCACCCCTATAAATTTCTCACTTGTACATGCAATTACCTGATTGTTTAGGCAGATATAGGTTATAGATAGTTAACCTTACCATGTATCATCATGTGTATCACCAGCCTCAGAAACTGGATCTCATCATAGCACCATTCATGTTCACCATGGCAGGCTACTTCTTCAGATAACTGAGCTAACCGAGGTCATCCGCTAGAGAGGTGACCAAGGGCATGGTTGTCCCTTGTCTACGAGGGAAAGGCACTGCGACAATGTGATTGCGCTCTTTGGCTCTATCATTACGCGATAACTTATTAAATCATCAAGGGTTTGGTCACCATGGTTATTTTGCATCGATCAATGGATGCAAAGTTCATGATGAGCCTGCCTACAAGCATGTAGGCCCAACTTGTTCTTGCACTCTACCCTAGTCCTCTCAAGGAAGACCCCATGGTCAGAGAAAAGCATCAGAGTAGGTTGCAATTTGCACCGATATGATATCTTTTTCATTGTGTTGTTCCTCATCAACATTGCGGTGGTTGTCGTTATTGGATCCATTTGTAGCTCCAATTCTCTCTAGGTAGCGCATGAAGCAATCTTACTCTTCAATCTGTACCTCTACTGCTCAGGGTATGCCGCGTTTGTTATGTTGAAACTTGAAAGGGCCATTCCAGCTTCAAAAGCATCTTGTAGTACATTATGTTGTGTAATAGAAAAGGAGTTGAACTGAAACGTTCTTTAATTATTGCCGTGCTTTCCATTTAGAATATTTCTTGGGAGATCAAGTTATGTTGTATATGCGGCTGCACTTCTGGGAAAAGCACCACAATTAGTTGCACATTCGCTGGGCAGGTCATCATGCATGTAACCATTCCTAATCCAGGTGTTGTCCAGTTTATTTATGTCCAACAATTGAGCACTGTACCCTTTTCCTAATTTCAAAACTGGTTTTTAATAATATGCTTTTTTTAAAACAGTTATAAGCTAAACACTTTTTTCTAAAATGAAAAATAATCCAGATTTAATGGGCCATGCCATGGCTAGCCCATATAGCGTTAAATAGGACGACTCCCTGAAGTGGGTGCTTATCGGCTTCGTTAGTCCAGAAAGTTAGGCTCCGCAAAGTATATAGATAACAAAATTAACGACCATTTCAGACCTAACCTCAGCTCGGACAGTTCAAATTTCAGTCACAATCTAGAAAGATGTTTCGGTTAAACAAAGTCTAAGCATCATCGAGAATTCAGAGACAGATGGTTTACCACCCATTCAGGAGAGGATTTCTTTGCATATTAGAGCATGATAAAGTAGTACGGAGTACTATTAGATATATGCCTCGCCATTCTTTCCATCTTTCCAGCCCAGGCCAGGTGAACTTGCTGAACTCCAGCCCTGTACCGCAGATAAGGGATACTAATCCCTGCCCACCACCAGCACATCAGTTTCAGTGCCATCTGATCAGCTGACCCGTAGCATAAGGCGGAGATGGCCGGAACGTGGCAATCAGCAATATGAGTTCAATCTTGCGATAGCCACGAAGGGAATGCGGAAGTTTGCAGAACGCAAGCTGCAATATGTCAATCTACAAAGTTCTGGGTAGCCTCCCCTGCAGACAACATCATCAACTTAGTTATCAGATCATAATCCTCCCATCAAGAATGCAGAGGTAGCTTTTGAAGAGTAACGGCACAGATGATACAAGGCAGTGATGCTTAATGGTGATATGTTTGATTTATGTCCTTTTATCGGTCCCATCCACATACTGAATGTAACAGCAGAGCAGATCATATGATTCAAACTAATAATTTGCACCATGACAGCATTGTTATGCACATCATTCTATTAACCCCAAAAGGCAAATAATGATTTTACTGATAAGAATTAAGAAGATACCATGAAGTAATGGTGCTATGAAGAAGTTAGAAAGTGAAAAAACTGTTACTAACCGTGCATACACTTTACAAAGGTCTCAAGCTCTGAGAAGCACGCATCTCTCTGCAAAAGGAATGGAGTTCGCTGACGGTATGCGAAGAATGAGAGATGGTGACGGTCAGGATCATTCCTCGGCTTCGCTGTGTCAAGGATCCGAGAGTACATGTCCACGTCAAGACATGGAAGAGAACTCTCTACACTTACAGATAGACCATGATCCCATGCTGCGTTCATAACCTGCAAAATTTCAAGTGTATCATCCACGGAAAAAAAAAATTACGCAATCGTAGCTTCAGAGACTTCTTACAACATCTCTCACCTGCCAGGTTAAACCTTCTGGGTCAGCAAATGCTTCACCATTCTCCTGAACTGTAAATTCTGGGCCATAACAAACCACTTTAAGAATTATGGAATGCTTCTTGAGCATTCTGAAAACTGGAGAGTATCCATCTCGATTTGTAGGGTTGTAGAATCCTGCAGTAAGCTCTGCAGCATGGCTTGCAGTTCTGTACCACCAATAGATGGAGGGGATCTGAGGAAAGATAATTGTCTTGTCATGAAACAGCCGAACTGGCAAGAGAAATATGAGGGGCAAGTTCCATGGACTTATCAGGGCAACATATGCTATATAGGAAGGCTGTACTATGAGACCAGGCAAGTGATCCGCTTAATACATGTATATCCTAGTATGATTACAGTATTTCGCAAGTTTGATGAGTGAAAAAATTCAGCCTCTTTTTTGTCTGAATTTTTTAAATAGTCGACCTAATAATTAGCATTTTGAGTAGCTTCTGTACCGTGTCTCATCTAAATTTGAGGGATGCTTCATGATTAGGCATTCAACTCCCCGTAACTTGTCAAAACTATATTACTTACCAGTTTTTCAGCAATCTTTGGTTGCTTTGAACAGAAGTGCAACCCAGAATATATAAAAAAGCTTAATGGATACCCATTACATGCAAGTTTGATGTGACATACACAGGAAACTAGAGAGACAGAAAACAACAACAAAGGAATATATGTGAAGCTTCTTTGAAAATTAGAGAGAATATGTACCAAGATATAGCATACCTTCACCACAATTGCTGCTCCATCAAATGCAAGAGTAGCAAGTGAGAGCACCTGATCCACATGATCTATGAGGATTCCAGAATACCAATTAAGGAAGAAACGCCCATAGTAGCTGTCATAATCACCTCCGTCACAAAAAAAGCCAGTCTCATGTGACCTTGAATTATAGTAGCCAGCATTATCAGGCCCACGGGCCCAAAACAAATGCCCCCGTGTCAAGGCTGATTGCCGTAGGTTCTTTTGCATATACCTGTCATAACACTGTCGACGAAGCAATCAGCAAAAGAATACATTATGTATCCACGACAGAAATGTAGCACGACATTTTTGTATGTGTGCAACCCGAAAGATAAGTTCAAGTCATGGCCCACACACCAACAAAGCAGTATTATATGGTTCTCGAAAGGTGCCTACTGCGCATATTTTCTTTCTCTACCGCAGCTTAATAACAACATAACAAGGTAGTAATATTTTACACTCCTTCAGGACCAATGAATAAAATGAGAAGGGTTCAGAATCAGGAAACAAGGTAACTGAAGTAAGTGTCCCTATCCTTGATGGTTCGAACTTGGAAACTGGAATTCAAGTAAATACGTCTTTTTCTTTGAATAAGCGCAAGAGGTTTTGAGTTTTAAGTAAGTACCTGAAACTCACCAATACCAGGATATCTCCAGCCCATTTTTTCTGGACACGAAGGGTATCTTAGCTCTCCAGAAGCACCCAATCCAACCTCAATAGCAGAAATAAGACCCTCTTCAGATAAGCTTCTGAATTCCATATGAAAGCTCCTCATGAAATCAAAATAAACCTGCACATAATCTCATCGAGTATCAATAATTCAGTATACATGTCTCTCCTATTAGAGAATTGATATGAAAAAGATTAATGGCGATACAATGCAAGTTCAATGTATCAAATGACAGGACAGCTATTGGCTATCAACAAGATATACTGCAATTACAACTGTGTAGAAAGGACTACCATTTTAAATGAATTAAAAATGTCACTAGGAAAAGACCGAAGTAATGCTCGTCTAAGGAGAATGGCAGCTTTTTAAAAAAAATAAACAGAGATGTTAAAGGAGGGTTTATAGAGGAGAGAAGAAAAATTACCAAGGATGACCCAATACCTCGATGCCAGTTCTCCCTCGAAGGACTCGCTCTTTGTCAATTCCCCAGGAGAGGCATTCTGTATTCCTCCTACCTTCTCGATCAGTGAAAAATATATCTTGGTTCTCTTGTGCAATTTCCAGTACCCACCTAGGAAGAGCAATTAACACACCACCAGATCCACACTCCCCAGACCCATGAAATGACAATACAACCTTAAATTTGTTGAAGAACACTTGTTAGCCAATGTAAGTCTGAGTTCAATATAACAAGGGAGATAAGAGAAGCTTATCCAGTTTAAGGATTTTAAATATCGTGCAATGCTACATCATGCTCATAATTGAAAATTTATCATATAAGCTCAAAAGGTTTAGTCATGTTATTTCCTCGCTTTGGAAGGTCAGGTTTCGGTTATGTCAAGAATCAAGAAAGTCGAGTCCATTTGGATTCAATGAACGGATGACTTCTGTCTAAGTCTATGCTTTAGTATGAGAGATCCACGTATACTCTAGTAACTTGCTATAATTCAATCACCAATAGTACATGTGTATAAAGTTGCAAAAAAATATGAAAATGTCAGATGTGTGAGTAATAGCATCCCAGAAAATGCCATAAGTCATGGTAGTATTCTAACCTGAACTTTTAGCTTGAACTCTTTAATAATACCAAAAAGGTCCCTGTAGCCAGACCATTCATATTTTTGAGGAGTCCAGGCTTCCACAATCCCCCACCAACAGTCTACAACAACTCCATCAACATTCAAAGACTTCAGATGCCTTAGTTCAGCGCGTACAGCCTCAGGATCAACCAATTGGCAATAACAATTGATAATGCCCATCTACAGCAACAGCAACAATGCTAAAGCATGGTGTGATAGATACATTATAGATGTCGAAATTTCAGGAATATATGAAGATAAAGAAAACATAGAGTTCTCAACTTACAATTTACTTTAAATGCATAATCTTAAAAAGAACAAACTGCATACGGTATGATTCTCTAGTTCTCAGTGTGAACTTTGGTGCTATGTTAAGTATTGAAGTTACACTTACACATGCACCTGGCCATGAGAGGACTCACAACTAGGGGCAAACCCGGTAAAAACATACAACCAGATTTGCAAAGTACTATATCAACCCCCCTTAAACATTTCTCTTCAACCTTTTTGGCCATCTATTACATGACATCCAATTAGCAAGAGAGAGATGGCCTGGCATCACATCAGATGGAAACGACAAAGCCACCTCATCTACTCACCCAGTCCACCTCAAACGACATGCCACAACATCAAATTTGTTCAAAAAGAAGAAGGTAAATGACCAAACAGATTAAAAATAAGCAAGTTAGGGTGGCTGTAATCTAATTTCAAGTTCCAACGGCAAGTGATACAAGCTGGCAAGTTTATGGTGCAAATGTGCAAGTTTGCAAACATAAAGTTCAGAACTTTAATTGAAGCATGAAAAGTCAGTTCCAACCATGTGTATATTGAAAATGGTGTCAGACAAAGGAAGCGAGAAAACAGGATTAACATAGCAGATATGGGATCAAGAGGTTCACCAGGAACTTACAGACAAAGAGGCGTACACTGGTATATATGGAGTTTTCGTGAAATCACCCGCCCATACTGCTGATGCTCTCAATAGCTGCTCCAATTGAACAATAAAAGAAAAACTGAGCTTGTCGCCCAATTTGATTTGCTAAATCAGAAAGCCCAAATGAAAAGTTGGGCTGCAAAATGAAGAATCAGTGAACTCGACAATGCAATTACATGATAGATTACTGGTCCGTACAAATAATGCTATATGGCGCAATTAGAATACCACTGTAAGCTGGAGCTACAACATTCTAGGCCCTATCGACGGTCAACTAACTTCATGGGTTATAGGCTATAAGAGCTGATAAAGACCAAGTTATTATGGCAAATAGGCGATGCTACATCCCAAGGTTATCTGGTTTATATACACCGGCATACCACAAGCATCCATTAAGCGAATCAAATTGCAAACTTTGCTCACCTGATCACTTCCCATGCAATTCAAAGAATTGGCTGAACTTGAATTCCCATAGCTCTCATTCTTTATGCTTTGCTCTGCCACCACCACTGAATCCAATGACGATGGTGACAGGCTATCATCTGTTTGTAGGGCTGAAGCCTGGGAATCTAATGGCGTCCCAATGGCGTAGCTGTTCAGAGAGTTGGTAAAAACTGGGGTTTCCAGAGAAGTAGCCTGGAAAGCACCCTGCTGAACATAAGAACATGAAAGCGTTATAGTCACAATGCGAATCATTTCTTGTGAAATCAATACACTTTTCATTCACAATGTTTTCAATTAAGCAAGGGGTGACATTATCATACGGAAAGTGGAGAGAGCTCCAGCAAAGCAAAATCCGAACATCTAGGTAAATAGGGGCAATAGGAGACTGGAGAGGGCGCACGTACGAATTGGGCGGGGGGAGGGAGAGGGGGCTGGGGAGAGGAGAGGAAGGTGGTGCCGTCGGGGTGGACGGTCCACCCGGCAGCGCGGGCGAGGGCGGCGAGGACGTCGTTCATGTCGGCGCGGGCGGGGAGGGGGAAGTTGCCGTGCTGCCGCAGCCCGGCCAGCATGCGGCTCGTGATGGCGCGCCGTTGCCGCTCCCGCAGCTTCGTCCGCTCCTTCTCCCGCTCCCTCTCCCGCTCGCCGCGCCGCCGCCCCGGGGGAGGAGGCGCCGGAGGGTTGGAGGCGGAGGCGAAGCCGCGCGGGCGGCGGCTCGGGGGCGGGGGAGGCGAGGTGGACGGATCGGCGTCCCCGTGGGGGTGCTTCGTGGCCATGGCGCTCCGCCCGGCGTCCGCGGCGCCGGCGCCGATCTGCGAGCGCTGGGGAGGAGGGAGGGGCGCCGCGAGCTGCTGCCGGCGCGGCCGCTGGTCGAGGAAGTGGAGACTGGAGTGTAGGCCAGAGGACGGAATGCTGACGAGGCACGGTTGACCAGGCATTAAATTTAGAAAATCCATGCGAGATTTGAAATAAAAAAATAGAAATTTTTGCTACGCAAAAGTAAAAAAGGAGTTGTGTAACATGGTCGGTGCTTATGATCGGTCTGGGTCCCCACTCTAAATTGGTGACATGGCTCAACCAAGTTTTTCACCCGAGTGGAGGTTAATATTATTCTTTTTTTGATTGAAATTGAATTTTCATTTTGATCAAGGGAATTTTTACAAAGCTAGTGTTTATCGTGAGGAGAGGAAGCCACACCAGAAACCAACATCACTTATCTATCATGTATTTTTAGTCTGTTTGACCATAAGATTAAATCACAGAATACATCAGTCAGTGATGAGTGGCATTGTCTGAAAATCAGAACATACCTGGCTTCCCAAATCTGTCAAAGGATCAGCAGTGTCATGAAAGGTTACAATGAAGTAGGGAGATGTGGTGGAAGTAAATAAAATTACTTTGGAACAAGAAGTTGAAAGGTGGAGTAGGGCTCCAGAGACGCCAGCAGCCGCCTCCTCCTCGAAGAAAAAAAGTTAGGGTCTGTGCCTCTTACCGGCGTCGATGCAGGTCCGCCTCGTCTCTGGTGGCCCTATGGCCATGGAGGCGCGGTGGATCCTGGCAAGGGCCGGCGGGAGGGCTTCGTTTGTAGTCGGGGGTTTTTTCAATCTTATTAGGTTTTGTGTCCTACTCAGGAAGGCGAGACAGCGGCGGCTTCCTAAAGATAAAATAAAGGTCTTCCCGCCTAGCCCCCGTTCCGATGGTGCATCTAGCATCGTTGGTGGGAGTGTAGAGATGTGTTTCCGGCAGATCTATCTTTGGTGGATTTGCTCGAATCTCGTCGTTGTTCGTCTACGTTCATGTGTCTTCGGTTTGGATCCTTCTGATCTACGCTATTCTTCATCGGCGGCGGTTGCTATTCTGGGGTGCTGGTCCTATGGGGCCTTAGCACGACGACTCCCCGACTGTCTACTACAACAAGTTGTGCCTGACTCCGGCGATGGAGGGGCGGTGACGGCGACGCGCCTTCGGCTCGCTTCAGTGCTTGTAGTCGTCGCTAGGTGGTCTACAAATCTGGATGTAATTTTTATTTCCGTTATTCATTGTACTGCCATGATTGAAGACGAATAGATTGAAAGTTTTCCCGAAAAAAAAGTAGAGAGATGTGGCGGGACATCGATCTTCCAGATGAGCTTAATGTCAGTGCGATTTGGCCTCATGCCAAGGCACGCCATATAGCTTTTGCTTTAGAGCATAGAAGGAACAACTGTGTACATGTTTCGGTATCCTATAGACACATGGGGCGGTTGTCTAATGGGAGGATCGTTTTCCTATGAAGATTTGTACATGTGTCGAGCATGTCATTGTGCAACAGCCACCCAAATACCTTGGTCTTGTTAGGAATCTTTGAGGACCAAACCATGGAGAGGGCAGGATCGTCAACGACTCTTTACATGGTGGAGTAAGCAACTTTTGTTGAGAAGACCTGGCCACCAAGCATTGATCGTTGATAACCTAGTCGCGATAATGTGTAACACACCTGCAGTAGAGCACAAATCGGGACCAATTCTTGCATTGCACGGGTGGAGGTTAATACCTAGTCGTGATAATGATATTCTTAGTCACATACTCCTATTTATCATGTTTGATGCAATTTGTAGGAACTCAACAACCTTAACGAAAAGAAAAGAAAGAAAAGAAAAATTAGCTTATTCAAGTGTCACACTATAAACTAGTTTGATTTGTCACCATGATAAAATTTGATTGTAAATATATGAAAAAAGATTTATGTCAATGGCATGACAAGATAACTTCAGTAGTCCTAGAGCCCACTTGGGCTTGTCCAGGAACAAAGGCAATTAAATGGTGATAAACTATCCATCAAGATGAACTATCAGTTAGTTCATCTGCTGGTTTCTAACTTCTATGCAAATGGGCATCATTTGGTTATTTTTTAGTTTTAAAAGAATAATTCATTTGATTGAGTAAAAAATGACCCGAGGATACCGCTTGCACCCATATATTTCCATCTACTACCAAGTGGCTATCGTTGGCCAATAGTTGTCGTTTAGATAAATCCTCCATCAATTTATTAAGTTTACTTCATAATCACCCAAATACAGACATTTTTCCGATAAAGAACATTTCATTCATTTGATATACCGAAGTGATACAATCGCATTGAAAAGGATAAATCAGTCCAGCCTAGGGTGGGGCAAATCTTATTCGGAGATTACAGTGCTATCCATATTGGGAGAAAACCTCCCTGTCAGTATGCTCCAATCGTGTGGACGCCATCATAAAAATATCTTTGTCCTCTGACCTCTGCAGGATAGACCAAGTATGGAGTGATGACCTGCAAGTGCACAGGACTGTTGTAGCACTTCCGTTGTGATAAGTAGAGTGTCGAACCCACAGCGAGTTGAGAGGAAGGCACCACAAACCACGCAACTACATTGTCACTTTCACGCAGCCACGTACGCACCCAAACCGGAGTTTAGAAATAGTCTGTTCTGTCGTTGCTAGAAAAACTAGATAAAAAGGGATTTAACTAAACTACTAACGAAGAGAGTAAAAACAATAAATAAAAAGACGCTAAGTTAGCAAGGACGGTGCTTGTGTAATAAAGCATTCTCAAGGGTTCCGGAATCACTACCGCTAATATGAACTACTAAATCCTCTATTCACTGGTCAAATGCATAAGTGGGCGGGGCCGGGTATAATACACGTTCTTCTCGAAGTAGACTTCATGCCACGCATGCCACCATCATAGTCTCCTCATAGGGTTATAACTAATGATAATTAAGGGTTACACCATGGACGCGGCCTCTCTATGGGTTCTTCATTATTCCCCTATCAATTGTGGCAGCAAGGAATCAAAGGCTTTTAGTATCACCTCTAATTACCCCAAATGTCTCAACCCTTCACAACGACAGTAGTTCCTCTACGACCTATATAGCAATAGTGCGAGCGAGACCTCCTCTCAACACTCGTGAGAACACTAACTCAAATCATGAATAGAAGATATTGGATTGCAACAAGAATCACATAGGGTTCAACCATATCCTCAAGAACCATTGTAATAACTGAAACAAGTTAATGGTACACATAAAGAGAAGCTCAAGTTACAAGCCGGCATCGTGTCGGTGAAGGGAGAAAGCATGGTGGTGGTGATGATGGTGGCGGCGGGGCGGTGAAGATGGTGGTGATGAGGGAGTCGGTGCGATGGAGAGGGCACCGTCCCGAAGGCCGGTGCTCACGTGGTGGAGCCTCCTCCTCTTCCTCTTGATATTGTCCCTTCCTCTATGGTGGTGGTGGAGCAGCAATGGAGATAGAGATGGATGTGTTGGAGATGAATGGCGTGTGATGGTGGTGGCTAGGGTTGAGGGAGACATATATAGAGAGCCTCCTAGCCTCCCCTCTTGATGGGCTTCATCCAAGGGCTCAAGATGAGCCAATTCCTCTCCTAATCTCTTTTTTGCGATCCAAGAATCCTGTGGGATCGAACATGGACGGAATCGGTGAAGAATCTCGTCTAGAAGAGCAACTTTAGGAGTTACCTGTCAAACGACCACTAAAACGACCGCGTGCGGTCGTTCTAAACACCATCTTTTGATCTGATCCTTCTCTGATAAAACGGTTGTCATTTCTTAATACGAATTCAAAATTTGCCGTTCTTGGGCTCGTTGGATTCATATGAATGACATCGATCCATTTCTGGTCTTAGATCTTGATTTCGAGCACTTCGGAAAAAATGACTTTTTCCGACCTCTGAAATAGCTAAGTCTGCCCCTGGGTGTCTCTGTATTGAACCCCTCATTGGTTCTTTCATCGTGCTTGGTCCTAGGTTGCTCCGAAACACCCGTAGACACAAGAAAACAAAGAAAACTAATAAAAACCAAATATAATACTAAATGTGCAATGCTCGTAAGGTAAAAGTTAAATACCGGTAATTATGCATAATGGACAACTATTTGGTTCAATGGGACATGATATATAAAGAGATCATGCAATAAATGAGCTCTAAAAATGCGTAAAATATAGAACCATCATGGAGTCATCGCGTACACACATGAATAACCTGCACAGAATATAAAGTACATTTATTGTTAGAAACCACATCATTCCTGGTAAGCCACAATGCCCAACATAAGGCGGCTGCCCCCATGAGTAGATGTGTGGAAAAATGTTTATCAATATCCTGCAACTAATTGCCGAACATGTTACGTGCACTACGTGGGGGATAGATTTGAAACTATTTGAACTATTTCCCAGACTACACGGGCAAATTTACACTCATAAAATAAGTGTTTAATGGACTCGTCATGTTGGCAAAAACACATGTCTTGCTACCTTGCCAGTTGCGTCGTGCCAGGTTATCTCTAGTTAAGAAGGCCCCTCTGTTTAGAAACCAGAGGAATCTCTTCACTCTTGGAGGAATTTTGAGCTTCCATAATTTCTGATTATCAATTGGTACATCACTACGAACCAATGCATCATACAAGGATTTGACTGAAAAGCTACCGTTTTCATGCAAATTCCATCAAAACTTGTTTGGTTCACCTGATAACTGAATGGCCTCCAAACAAATTAGTAATTCATTCCATGCTACCAGGCGAGGCCCAAAAAAGTCCCTACAAAAAGAAATATCAGGGTTTTCTTGTCCCAAAACTTGTTTGATCATGACGAATTTATGTCTGACAACCATATACAAGCTAGGGTATTGCACCATAAGTGGAGTGGCCCCTGATACGTCTCCAATGTATCTATAATTTTTGATTGTTCCATGCTATTATACTATCTGTTTTGGATATTTAATGGGCTTTATTATACACTTTTA